ATACGTACAAAGTTGTTGAAGAGGACTTGAAGTCAAAATTACACGAGCAGATATTACTGGAGGTCTTCAATGAGGACCATACTTCCCAGGATTTAAGAAAAAACCAAAAAAGAAGACAGGGGCCATTTGGACTGAGGAGTGGTAAGAGAAACATCGGGCCAGAATGAAATAAATATGGAAGCAAAGCAAAGAAAAAAAAAAGGCAGAAAATTGAATGAACGTAGTTCATAGTGGCTCAACATAAAAAAAACAATTAATTTATACCTGCCTCATAAGATGGGTCAATCAAGGCAACTTTCAGTGGTCCAGTTTCGGCAACTCCCTCACATGTAACAAATATATGCTTGCATCAGTACTTCAAGGACATAAGTTGATTGTTGGAGGTTGCGTCAACTGCTACGATAATTAGTCCGGAAAGGGTAGTTCATGCTGTCTTCTAGGAGATGGCGATATTCCTCTACCACTGCAACGTGAGACATGGCACCGACTTATATATGGGCGAGCTTGATTTCCTCCTTCAAGTATCTTTGTTTGAAGGGATCTGCCCCAGCGGGGACAATATCCAAGCTCCTGACTCGTCTTCCGACATTTATGTACATGTAACTGTGTGAATGTTTGTGTGTATATGAGGAGAGGAGGAGTGAAGGATAAGAAAGGCAAATGGCGTGCGGGCTATAATCCGTTTGAAGTCCGGTAGTTCGCTAGTCCGGCATTCGCTTCTTATTGATCGGAGAAACGTTGGAAAATTACCGATCAAAGCAGCCGGTTGTTAGAATTCTCCTCCAGATCGCGAATGAATCCGATCTGATGACTCCTCTCCCCTCCGCGCCACTGAATGATGAAATTCAGTGCCGATACGTCGGCTTGCGGGGGATTTCCCCCTTTCCACCAGCGGAGCACCGCCCCAACAGGGACAAGATCTAAGCCCCCAATTGATCTCCCGACATTAATGGTAGTATAATGCATGTAAGTATGTGTGTATGTGTGTGTGTGTGTGTGTGTGTGGAGAGAGAGGATAGGACAAGGATGAGGAAGGAAAGATTGCACGCGGTCCGTAGCCCGTTTGTTAGAGTACAGCTCCGGCATTCGCCTGATATTGATAGGACATACCAAGTATACTTATCAGTGCAGCCGGCCGCTAGAATTCTCCTCTATAGCATTTGAACAGCATTTGAATTCGACATAGATATCGAAAATTTACCATCGTGAGACTACAACTCTATGACTAACCGGTCTTCTTACAGAGGTGACTATTCTTGCCCTGAGACATCTCAGTTGGAGTCGTACTATGGTTATTCGTAAGCTGGTGAAGTACCACCACTCGTTAAAGTCGAAAATTCGTCACTGTCGAGACTCCAACCCTACGTCCTACCGTTCAGAGACACTGCAGTGGCAAAAGTTCTTACCCTGAGACATCTCACTCGGAGGCGCACTATGTTTCTTCACAGGCTGGTGACGTATGATTGGATGTATGTATGGCATTTATGTTGACTGTCCTACTTTGCCGGCAGCTTACGGTGACCCCCATGTCTGGGCCTACTTTACTTCTCAGGCTTGGGGGTAAGAGAGACATTTGGCAAACACGGCGTATTCCCTTCTCCGTAACTAGCAAAATTCGCCTGCGTGACCTTTTCTTCACACAACTTCAGAAACTGAAACGATTTTAGAGGAAGACTACAACTCTTTTTTTGCCGGGAATCCAATCCGGGATCACACCACGGGAAGCTATTAAGCTGCCTATAAGCTGAAAGATTTAAATATGATTTTAATAAATCACAAAAATTGCAAATACTCCCTTTGCGCATAATAATTTAGTATACATAGCACAAAAATACAATGTATCCAAAGTAAATTGACATAACGGGACGAGAGGAGAGTTTTACTCACAATCATGAGGCAAATATGATGTCTTATATGCCTCCGTAAGGAGACACGAGGTACAAGATGAGATCAGAAACGTCAGTAGTGTTTGGGACATATTCTGGCACGCACCACATATTAGGTAAATTACCTTCCTTCATGCGCTCTATTTTGTCGTTGTCATTCACAGGTAGCAGAATTGTAGATATTGTCGATTGTGTGACGCAAATATTACTTTTTAGAAAGTTATCTGATACTTCCTTTAAGTTAAAGCCGCTAGATTAAATTGCAATACACGATCATGATGATGTAGCAAGAATTGGAAATACATTTGTCATTCAATTCCGATTTTAATTATTCGAATGATTTGCAGAAAACTTAATCATATCATGGATGACGGTGGCCGATTTTCTCAAAATCTCAATGGAGCAAAATGTGTCAATATTTACTGTCTCCCCTTACTTTGTAAGTAGTAAAGAGAAAGTATTGTAATCGGGGGAAACATTGTGCGGGGAAATAGGCGATTTTTCGGCAGAAACACTTGGTATCGAAATAGTTGATAAACTGTGTCCTATTTGTAGACAATTAATTCCTCTAACACCTTGTGTAGTCAGAATCAATTTTTTTGTGGGTCCTTGTTGCAGCAAAATCGATTGACAGCGAAAGGTCCGTCCTTTCTTCCGTCCATGGCCAACGTTAGCACCTAAATCTAAATATTCTGGGGAAATACATCTTATAGTTCCCAGACTTTTAGATTACAAAAACGAATTGTACGAATAATAAGCAAACCCCACGCACGTGATTCTTGTAAGCCTCTCTTTATTCATCTAGGTATTGTATCATTACCTTGTCTCTTTATATATGAATCAGTGTTTTTTGTCAAAAATGACTTACTTAAGGGCGGAAATATACATTCATCAAACGCCATTGTCTATAACTACAACACTCGACGTAGTAATCATATTCATCAGGTGACAGTATCAACAGCTCACTACAAAATACTCACATATAATACATGTACATTATTTTACAACACCTTGCTAGATGACATTAAACGATTAAATTCGATACAAAAGTTTAAGTCCCAAGTAAAATCTTTTTTGCTGAAAAACTGTTTCTATACAATTACAGACTATACCGAGCATCCAAAAGGAAAGTAATATTAATTTTAACAATGACATTTAATGTATTGTATACCATTTGGATTGTATAATTGTAAAGAACCTGTAACAAGTATTGTACTTCAGCTTCTGGGTCAATGACCGCCATCTCAATCAGGTTTTCGTCCAGTTCCCCTGATCCTCGAGCAAATGCTGAGATGGCCCCTTGTTTAGCTTCTGGACATAAATGTAACTTAAAATTAACCTCTCCCCGTAGCACGTCACACACAGTTTTACCTGTTTTTGACGTAAATAAAAAAATTGTCGAATGTCGTCATACGAAGACAAGTATTGAAAAGAAATAATTTGTCTCAAATATTAAGGAACATTGAAGTTGATAACACTTAAATAAGGCAATAACTGTCATCAATAAGAGTGGATTCTGATGACCTAAAAAATCACCAAAAATTATCAATAAAATGCTCTTAAATGTTTTAAAAAAGGCCTAAAAGCAAAGAAAAATGACAAAAAATGTAACTAAATCCAGTTCATATGAACACTCAAGCTTTTGGATTTGTTACTGATGTTATCCAGGTTTCTTCATTTCGTTTAAGTGAACTCAGCTTGCAAACCTTTGGTTTGGATTGAGCCAATGAATTTCATTAAAATCTGTCCCCTACTCATAATCAACTAATTTTAAAGTATACCTGCTACAACAAGAGAGTATAAGAAGAATATTCTGCTCGTGATTACTCACTTTTCTAGGTCAAAGAGTAATCAGTACAGATGTAAATGTTGAATGAGAAGATTTTAAAGAGCTAATATTACAAGTAACAGGAGACGTCTTAAGAACAAGACCAAAAACAAGAAATAGGAAGTGTGTTCAAAAGTGAGACGAAGAAATACAAGAAATGGTTTATCAAAAGAAAAATACTTACATACAGTATCTCCAATCATATTCTGATGAAGACAAAAGGTGGGATAGGCATGTAAGCGAAATCAAACACGTCTGTCACGGATTACAGGACAGTGCCTATAAAATAAGGAAATATCTAAACCCGATAGAAAGATATACATTAAAAGTTAACATCTTCAAGAAAGAATGGCTTACATACTATCAGTCTCTATGAACAAATATCTAGAGTTCTGAAAAATCCTAATGAAAAACAACAACACAAGTGGACCCCATTGAATTCGACGAATTAAAAATCATACTTACATCATCCAAAAATAAGAAGTCACCAGGAAGTAACTGCATGTTCATAAAACTTCTAAAGTATGCACCAGAGCAAATAAGGAAGAGATTCCTCGCAATAATTGTATTGGAGGAAGTAAACCATTCCTGAAGATTGGGGGAAAATAATTATTTTCCCTATATTCAAGAAGGTAACAGACAAGATTGCAAAAATTAGACATAACTGTCTGATCAACACAGCCTATTAGATGTATGCTAAGATAACGTTTGGAGGAACTGTGCGGTTTTAGGGAAGGTGGTTCATTTCAGCCCAACGTGATGATAATTATGACTAATAACGAACCTATAGAACAGACAAACAATTTTACTAATTTAGGTTTCAATGTGACTTACTGTTAGAAAAATAAAAATAAAAAGTCAGAAACTAAATAGATTCTATAACGTGTGTGGAACAATAAGAAAAACATTTAAAATCATGATCCTAAAAACTACACAAACTTAAATTCTATAAAGCAATGGTAGTACCCATGCTAACTTACACATGCGAAAAATGGACAATAAATAGAACAGACAGAAATAAAATAGAAAGCGCTGAAATTACATTCTTACTTGAATGTGTTAGATAGAAAATATAATGACAAGATCACAATAAAACTGAATATATTATATCAAATGGACAATATTCAAGCATTAAAGTGCAACTTAGCATGCCCACATTCAACGTATGTCTCCAAATATAATAGCCCTAATACTGTACCAATATAACCCCAACGAAAGAAGAAAGGTTTTGCCTCCCGTTAACATGGCGAGAGATTAATTCTTTTGATGTGGAAACTGGCCCTAAGGCCCAAATCCATGAAGCAGAAGCAACAGCAGAAGAAGAATAAAAGAAGAAGTAGAAAAGAAGAAGAAGAAAAGAAGAAGAAGAAAAGAAGAAGAAAAGAAGAAGAAGAAGTAGAAGAAGGGCTCTTCATGCATTACATTACAAACTGTTTTTAATATTTGATATATAACTATTGTAAAATTTAAATTATATACGCACTTTGAAATTGAATATGGGGAACATTGGTACACATCTCTAAATCTATGGAAAGCTTGGCCTTTCCTGAGACTGAATGTTATTCTCATTTCAAGACCGGACACAGTGCCCGAATTTCTTTTTCTTCAGGTCACCCACATTTCCTTTATTAAATTTCTTTTAAGGGGAAACTTCCTCTACACGAAAACATCTTTGCGTCTACATTTCTTTTCTCTTTCGATTCACTCAGTATTTCTTTCGCTTCTCCGTCCTCATTTTTTGTCACATGTCTTCCTCACTTAATGCGCTCATGTTGACTGCGTGGAAGCACGAAAGAAATTAGAAATTCTTTAAGTGTTTTCAACGGGCTACCTAAGAACGGGACATACTTTTCATTGACCATATTCCATGTACGAATTTGAAGCACCACGTTCTGTCATTCATAGCTTGAAGCTTCCGCCTATCGTATGTAGATTGTGTTACTTCACTTCCAGACAGTAGGTTCAAATATGTCAAAAAACTATCGAATGATCTAATGCCTTGTACATCTTCAACTTTTACAAAATTACCCTAAAACGAAATCTTTCGTATTTCACACTGTTGACGCGAAAACTGAACAGTATGACAAGGATTTCGCGGTTATTCTACACAGTTCAGAGATAATAATGTTCATCCATAGCCGGCCTTGATAGCCGCGGCTTTTAATGCTGAAGAACCGTAGTTGCCTCGAACAGAAGGGTCATTTGATCGAGTCCCGCCTCGGGCATGGACGCTTGTACGTAAGTGTTGTCCTTACGTGTTATTACTATAGTTCACTCTACAGTTAAAAGTATTACAGTGGACTTTTAAAAAAGTTAATGTATATAATTATACAAAAAATATCCTTTGGGATTGAATGACGCAATGTTTGGTGGCTGTTTTTATCATGCACTGTAAAAAAACTATTTAGTTGTATTAAATTCATTATTTTGGTCTAGTTATGATGATACAATTTTGAGTGGTAATTTCCTGTCCTACAGAAATACACTGTTCTTTGAAGAGTGTTTCTTATAAACGGTACAAAATCGTTGTCTTTTCTTAGTGTATTATGTAAAGAGGAATTTTTTTGGTGCACCAAGAACATCTGTAAATGCACTTGATAAAGAATTCTAGAATTCTCTCGTCAGTCAAATACATTACATAAGCAAATGGGGAAAAATATTCCCAATTAGGTTTTTAATTTTGAGTGAATTGAAGTGAGTGGAATTTTTGAATGAATTCCAAAGAAAAAAACATTTGGAACTTCAATCATTTTTTCACTATAAGGTTTCACGGCATAAATATCTTTTTCCTACATTTTCATTGAAGTGTTAAAATGACTATTTCATTAATGAAATTAAAACCAATAGTTTTTAACTATACATAAAATGCCCCAATGAGGGTAGTGTATCTGAAAAATTCTATCGCTTTATCTATCCGATTTTTCTTACCCTACTGGCGAATCATAACCAGTGACTCATCTGTCTTAGGAGGCGGTATGCGGTTGATCGCTATGTCGATTTCCAATAAACGCGTATGTGCTATAACACAATCTCTTTGATTTTAACATAGTTTTCAGTTATTTTCAATATTTGGCGCATTTTGGAACTCTATTGGGCGTAATTTCTGGATTAGTCTTATTATATACCACTCTTGCTTGGAAATTCTCAGCATAATCCCCGACTAGGCTCGCTTCTCGAATTTGCAAAGCACTTGTGGTATTACCTACGATAAACTATTTTTCTTCAAAACTCAAAAACCTAACAATGCACTAAATTAAAATTTTGCAAGAGTCCCAACAAAGTATCAAACTAATTATTCGTCAATCGATTGTGAACATGATTATGTCATAACAGCTTTGTTTATTTTACTTTTCATACTACTTACTCGTGTTCCAATGCCTTCTACGTCTCAACAAGAGATCAATATTATAGTTTCGGCACTCGAATGAGTTGTCCGTTTCCGGTCGAAATGTTGCTTTTTACCTTTTAATGTTTGTTGAGTAGAAAGTAATTTAAAAAGCTATTAATACCTATTATTAATATTATCATAATATTTACTATTAATACTTTTACTTTTAATTTATTATTACTAATATTAGAATTATATTATTTTATATTACATTTTAATTATATTATTTGTTTTACTAGTGTCCTTATTTTTATAATTATGGTTAACTATTATCCTAGAATATTTATTAGTTATAAGAGACTTATAATAATTAGGCTAATTCTAAGTAGTTAGTGCCCCACGTGCCATTGTAAGCAAGTTTTTAAATTCCGATTCCTCTCTGCTTATCGCTTTTGAATTTTTTCCATCGCTGATATCTTCATAAATGTGGCAACGAAGGTTAACACCGCCTTTTCCTCAGTACACGCGTTCCAGGAATTCTGTACCTGTGTTTAGTGCTAATCCGGAAGTGGAGAGGGTTCTGGCTCACCCCGGCCCCGTGGAAAGTCCCATACCCGCTCGAAGTGGCCCTACCACCCTCCAGGATTTACAAATTTCTTTGTCTCAGTTCCCTCGTGGCTTCTCTGTTTTCCACGTAAATGCCCAATAACTTAAGCAGCATTACTCTGAAATTTCAAATATAATAACTGAAACAAAACCAGACCTGTTATTAATAAGCGAAACGTGGCTAAAATCTACAATAAAATGAGAACTCGTATCGGTATCTAATTATAAACTCCTTCGGAATGATAGCTCGGTAATTAAAAGCAATTTAAAAGAAAAGACGGGTGGAGGGGTCGCATTGTTTGTTCGCAATGACATTAAGGTTAAAGTAGTCGCTCACTCCACATCCTCTTTACCTGGCATGGAATATAAGTTTGCAGAAATCTAAATTGAAATGAAACGTTTACTTGTTGCTGCGGGAGTTTTATCCGAATTAGAGATTCCCCTTTCGCATTTCGCAAGTAAATATCAGGATATCATAATTATGGGTGATTTCAATTGCGATCTGAAAGTACCACTCACAAACCCGGCCGAAAAGTTTATCGATACTTTTAATTCATACAATTTACAAATATTAGAATTTGGCCATACTCACTTATCATTAAGAGCTGAGAGCTGAAACATGGATAGATCACGCGATTGTGACAGACACCTCGAAAGTATTAATGTACGGTCAGATATCTGTTTCGGGAGTATCAAAGTGTCATGATTTGCTATTATGAGTCCTCTATAAAATGTCCTAAAAATAAGCAAAAAATGATCAGCACCGTGACTACAAAAATTTTATATTATGAGCTATGTCGACGACAGCACCAAAGCTCCTTGCATGTCGTTATAATCAACATCTCTTAATAGTAAAGTAGAAGTCTTCAACGAAATTATATCAGACCCCTTTCGATAAACATGCACCATGGAAACGCGACGTGTGACCATCCCGCGGCCGAGGCTTACAAGTACATTAAGCAATTCAATGCAGAATGCGACTCAGCCTTACCATCGCTTCAATGTGTAATAAAACCTCTGAAATGAAAGAGAGTACAAAAAGTTACTAAATTCCGTAAAACAAAAAAATTAGAAACGCAAAAAATTCTGATATTATCATGATTGTCTTGAAAGTAAATACAAACCACAAAGACGTTTGAACAAACTGAGAGACCTCGGAATCACGAAAGCAAATTCTTCTGAAATTTCTGTCGATATGCCTTAATGATATTATGACTACTTGTAAATGTTCAAAACAATACCACATTTCTGTAAAGCATAATACATACAGAGACTTTCAAGCAACTCACCTGCTATCAGGATAAATTTATTTCCATAAACGTTGATCATCAAGAAGTTAGTAAAATGGTTCTCTCACTAAAATCAAATGCAAATGGCTCCGATGGTATCACAGCCAAACAATTGAAATTTGTTTAACCATTGCCGTTCCGGCGCTCACGCATTTAATAATTTCTCATTTACAACGGGAACCTTTCAAGCGTGGAAGCTTGCACATGTTCGCCCCCTGCCAAAATCTGAACTGACCGGCGTCTTTGCAATATTGCCCAATTAGTATATTGCGAGCAGTGTCTAAAGATCTAGAAAAAATTGTTCGAATAACAATTGAACACGTATCTGACCACATCGCTCGATAACTTTCAATTCGCTTTAGAGGAGGTAGAAGCAACACAAACAGCTTTATTTAAAGTAACTGAAGACAATAAGAGAAAGCGCTAGATAGATGCTCCTAACTGTATTAACTCTTTTATTTTAGTAAAGCATTCGAGTCTGTAGATTACGACATGACGTCAATAGCAAGTGCAAAAATCTTCTAAAGTTTTTCTCGATCTCCTCTACCTTGAATTAGCAAGCTATCTCTACAATAGGCAACAAATTGTAGTAGTTGACGATCTGCACTCCAATCCAAAACCTCTCCACCGAGGGGTACCTCAGGGATCCGTGTTAGGGCCACTGTTTCTCCTAATTTACATGAATGACCTATCAAGCGAACTTACGGAATATAGTTATCATATGTACGCCGATGATCTGCATACTGATATCTCCGGAAAATCTTCACAGGTAGAAGTGCTAATAAATAAATTAAATAATGAACTCTCATTTGTAATCAAATGGTCAATGAGAAACGGACTCAATTTAAATCCTACAAAATCACAAAGCATCGTAATTGGCTCTTCTCAAATGCATAAGAAACTTGAAGGTTCATATGTTCCTGATGTGCTTATAGACAATGTTGTAGTACCTCGTCATACACAAGTCAAAAACTTGGGCTTAATACTTGATGATCATCTAAGTTGGAAATATTAGATCCGAAATGTCTCTCGCAACATTTATGATTATTTGCAATCCCTTAAATATATCGAGAAATGTCTCCCTACTAATACGAAAGAAATGTTAGTAAAAACCCTGCTGTGTCCTCATTTCGAATATGGGGATATTGTGTATAACAATTTGAAAGATT